GATTCTGGACCCAGGATGTTGCCTCTCCCATGACGTCAGATCTCATCCCATCTGTCCTTGTAGTTGGTTCTGATAGCTTTCACCAGCTTTTCCGGAGCGCCCTTGTCTTCCAGGTTAATCTGTGTGAAGGCAACAGTGGTGCATGTCTTCCTGTGAGCCCGATGTCCCAGTCTGGCCTTCCCCTGGACGGTGCAGTCGGGGGCTCCCATCTTGCCACACACAGCAGGCAGGAAGACAGCAGCTGGGTGGGATCCACATCACCAGCAACCACCACCAGCTGAGCCCCCTTGTTCTCCACCAAGGTGGTGACAGCATTGACTCCTGCTCCAAGGATGGCTGGTCTCTTAGTGGGGACATCCCCTTTGCCAGCAGCTTTTCTCTCTACCCATGCCAACAGCTTCTCCTGCTTAGTCTCTGGTCTCTCCTTGGGGCATAAGCAGCTGGGTAACTGGCCGGCCAAGGCCTAGGTGAATTCATTAGCTGCAGGAGGCACTTTTGGCTGCTTACAGAGTACAGCCCTTTGCTGCTGCTGCATCTGGTTGCAGTGGGGCCATCTTACAAAGTGGGTAGGGTCCCTTTGGGGCTGGGTGTCCTGTCCAATGCTGAAGTTCTCAGGCCTTTTCTTAAACAGGGTTCGCCGCCTTCTTGGCTTTCTATCTTAATGACAGCAGAGGCCGGGCTCACCTGCTTCCCCTCAGCCTTCTTTCCTTTTTAGCATCTTGGGCAGCTGGAGGAGACAGCTGTATTTTGTTGCTTAATGCTTAAACTTTTTACTCATCTGTGATTTCTTTTGGTGGATGGAGTAAGATAGGGCTTTAGCTTCCCTATCTCCCTCTTTCCGGAGTCAGCTAATTCTCTAGTGACTTTTTTTTTGTTGTTGTTGTTGCAGTTAATCTATTTTTTCCCCTATTATTTAGAAATTCTGCTCACATTCTATGTTCTCAGATAAATTTGGGTCTTGGGTCTAATTCTGTATGTTATATTGTTTCATTGATCTGCCTGGGTTTTTTTTTTTTTCTCTAGTACCAAATAGATTTAATAACCATAAAGAAGACTTAAAGTTCTCTCATTGGTATTCTCAGTAGATTTAAGAGGACCTGGAATCAAAAGGGAGTCGTCTTAAGAGCAGGGCAGATGGCTTTCGGATGCAAAACAGAATGACTAAATTATAGGTTACATTGGAGGCAGTGAACAAAGAGAGGTCTGCAGAAAAATCAACCCATGAATTAGAAGATGTGCTGGAGAATTCTGAGGAAAATAAGAGATGGAGATTGTGAGTCCAAATGATGTGAGACTTGAAAGACAGCTGCAGGAATACAGGCGTGGATGAAGACAGACTCCGGGGTGCAGGGGGAGAAGGGCGCTAGCCACCACCCATCTGATTCCCACTCCAGCCAGGCTGTACAATTGGCGCCGGCTGAGCTTCCTCAAGACCTTTGTGTGCTTCAAATCGGGCTCCAGGTTTCCCTTCCCTGGGCTGCCTCACCACGGCCTCTATCTCAAGGTACCCTGTTTTCTGGATTTCCAGAATACGCTACCTTTTGTTCCCACCCCACCCAGGGACTCTTATTCCTTGGTCCACACTGACTGACTAGGTATCTCAGAGCCCTGCCTTAGCCCTGACCGTGTGCCTGCACGCACCACCCATCCTGCACCACTCAGGGGTCCCGATCCTCCTGCTTGGGCGCATCCACCCTCCCTTTGGCCAGTGCCATCTCATCAAAAGACTTCTTTGTTTGGAGGTCACTTCCTTCAGAAAGCTCCCAGCTCCCCACCCAAACTCATATTAGGTGTCCTTCGGTGAGCTGCCGTAGCCCTGTCTTCCTTTGGTAGAAGGGGCTGCTCCCTTCATCTCCCTCCTCGTAGACTGTGCACCCCAAGGGCAGGGTAGGGCCCATTTGCTGTTGAAGGCTGTGGAGCCCTCCAGAAGTACAACGTTTGGCCTGGCTAGGCACACAATAAATGTGTGTTGAAAGTGAAAATTGACACATGCATATAAAGGGTACCTTTTGGATATGTACTAGTTATGGGTAATTGTCACTTAAAATGAAAAAAAAAAAAGAAAAAAACTTTCTCACTTTCCTTTCTCCCTTTTTATGCAATATATATTCACTCTGGGTTTTATGATCAGATTATTTTTCCTGGAATTATTTTCCTGGAAAAAAATTTGTTTGGGGGTGGTGGTGGTGGTACTGGGGATTGAACCTAGGGGCACTTAACCACTGAGCTACACTCCCAGCCCCTTTTATTTTTTTTTATTATGAGACAGGGTCTTGCTGAATTGCTTAGGGCTTGCTAAGTTGCTGAGGCTGGTCTTACTTGTGATCCTCCTGCCTCAGGCTTCTGAGTTGCTGGGATTACAGGTATGTGCTACCACACTTGGCCCTTTCTGGAAAAGTTTTTATATATTTAAAATTTAGAGACAGCAGTTGTGTCTCTAGGGTATGGCTTTTGGGTACACAGGTGGACTTGGAGTTTTCCGAGTGGAACTCAGCCCTCTGTTTCCTCCCTGGACTCTTCATTCCTTTGCATTCATTCCCATAGTTGCCATAACAAATTACCAAAACTCAGAGGTTTAAAACAACACAGATTCATTATCTTAACAGTGGTGTGGGTCAGGGATCGGTCATGGTTCTCATGGGACTAAAATCAAGGTGTCAGCAGGGCGGGTTCCATCTGTTTCCATAAATAAGCGTTGAGCTCAGTTTAATGAAATGCACGCTGAAGTACTTCAGGGAAAGTGATGGATGTCAGTAATCTACTTTGAAGTGAATGAAAAATAACATGGACTTGTAACTGAATTAAGGGATGTACAGATGAACAGATGTGTGATAGAGTAAGTTTAGTGAAAGATTAAGGATACAATAGTCTTGGCTTTCATGGTAATGTTTCTGCATCTTTAAACAAAACAAAACATACAAACAAACAAACAAACAAACT